TAGAGATGACAAAGATTGATGTAGAGAGGTTTAGGGGGGCCTTGGCACCGCAATGCTTGCACGTGCGGCGATTTGTGCTGTCAATTTCTAGTCATTAGTGGCTGCACACGGCTAGTTGGGACGTTATTATGAAACCTTCATTTATTAGTATATTCTTTCTCTCATTCGACCACATAAATTAATAAATAAAAAATAAAATAAAAATTGTGAAATCTATTTGGAATATAAGAGGGCATGTCAGCATTTGCAGAGCCTGGAACCACCTTATCCGACTGGACTATGATTTGCCTCGATAAATTGGCTGGCGATTGCGGATAAAAGGGTCACCAACCGGCAAACCCACGCCAAAATATAAATGCTCGGGGACCTGAATTTATACCTACCCAATTAAATTCATGTTCAAATATACATATTATTACTATTTGTGACAAATTATATTGTTAGGCAGTCATACATTTTGACAAAAAAACAATAGTTATATTATGAAATATCATACTTAAATTTACATTGTATTTTAAAGAATGAATTTTGAGTATGAAAGTATGTATGTGTGATGAAAGAGTATAACTACTGTATATATTAAAGTTCGAGAATGATTATTTTTTTTTGTTAGGTTGTAGTGAGGTTGCATTTAGGGGTGTAAAAGAGCGAGCCGACAGGAGTTTGAGCATTTATCGAGTCAATCCAAGCTCAACTTATGATCGAGCATGACTCTTTTATCAGTATTAACGAGATATATAGAGTCAGGTCTTAATTAGTCGAGCTATAGAAAGTAAAATACAATTTCATTTTTTTAAGTCTTCAAGAGTTTGGCTCGTCAACTTAACGAACTCAAGATCGGCTCATTTATCAAACGAGTTGAGCCAAACTCACGAGCGAATCGTTTTGTTTAATAGTTATAGTAGCAATTTAGTGGATCAAATGAAAAATGGTTTGGTGGGCCACAATTATTACAATAAAATGCAGAAATGGCTACATATATCACCAATTTTTTTTTTTGGGAAATATTAACAACAAATATCCAATAAAAGAGAAAACTAAACAAATATTTGTAATAAATTTGGACCAAAAAAAATAACCTTTACCACCTACAGAATTATTTATAACGAAAAAAATCGTTCCATAAGCCGTGTCATCCGTCACCAACTAATCTCATCAAAAGAGCATAGTAAACAAATATTTGTAATCAATTTGGACAAAAAAATACTACTACATATTACTAATAAATCTCCAACAAAAGAGAATACTAAAAAATTATATGTAGGTAATTTGTAGCTATATACCAACATATATAGTTTGTTGGTATATGTCAAGAGATTGCCTACAAATTCTCTATAAATAAAATGTACCTACAACTTTTTTGGAGGTATTTACCACATGTATGTTTTATAGATAAATGCTTAAAGATTGCCTACAAATTTATTTATTTACAATCTCAAGCAATTTTAAAAAATCTCTAGGTGTTCTCTGTGTTGGTAAAACAATTGTAGATAGCCAATGCGTGATCCAGCTGGTCTTCGGGCCCGAGAACTATGCTGGCCCACATGCAGCGCTTGTTAAGGAGATCCGACGGATGGCTCGGTGGGATTGGAGGATTCAGATACAACATGTTCATCGAGAGGCCAATTTTGCGGCTGATCATCTAGCGGGCATTGCTTCATCTTTCTCGGTTGGTTTCCATAGGCTTCATACTCCCCCAGATGGGCTTCGTCACTGGCTAAGCCACGATATCATGGGAGTTTTCTACCCTCGTCGGGTCCGTAGCTAGGTCTTTGACCTCCTTCATTGTACCAAAAAAAAAGAAAAAAAAAAAACAATTGTAGATATTCTGTTGGCATCGGTCTTAGTAATATGTAGGCAAACTTTTGCAAATTAAATTATTTACCAACAACAAAATCTGTTGACTTTTTATTGGTATGTTATTAATATTTTTTTCTTTTGTGAATCTCTAGCAAATTTCTAGGTACTTATCTAAAGAAAGCTAATTCTCTAGGCAATTAAAATTACTACAATAAGCTTTTTTACCAACAGACTAATATGTAGTCATTCTCTAAGTAATATTCTGTACATAAAAGAATTTATTTACATATTTTTCAATATATAAAATTGGTATTCTTAAATTTTTATAAAGGAATATGTAGTCGTTCTCTAAGTAATATTCTGTACATAAAAGAATTTACTTACATATTTTTCTCTATATAAAATTGATGTCCTTAACTTCTTCTAGTGATGGCGCCATGACTGGTGCCATCAATAGAATGTAAGGTAACGCTATCCGTATATGTAGCAGTTAGCACAATATAGCCATAATATTCCACTCATCCATTTAACTCTATTCTCTTTTCTCCTATCATATTTTTGTAATATATTTTTATAAATTAAAACTCAATCATTTCTATACGGTTATCTATAAAATTTGTTATTCATCCGCTCACATATTTATAAATATCAGTCGTTATTTTACTGTTTTCCTATCACATCACAATCCATTATTATTCTTTATAAAAAAATTAAAATTAAATAAATAAAGTTGAATTAAATGAAATGGACTAAATGGATATGCAACTGCACCTGATGAATCACAATTTGGGCTCATGAAAATGAAATAAATAAAGTGAAATTAAATGAAATGGACTAAAATGGATATGCAGCTGCACCCGATCAATCACAATTCAGGCTCTTGTTCTCTTTCATACATATAATTATATCATTATTATTTCTCAAAAATATAAATCAACTAGTTTTACCGCGTGCATTTGCACGAAAAACGATATAATAGAAGAAAAAATAAATAAAAATATAAAATAAAATAGAAAACATTATTGAATAAATGAAAAAAAAATTAATTTTAAAAAGTGACTGCAATAGTAAATAAAGATATTTGTAGTTATTCTTAATTAGTTGTGAAATACGTATTTATATAATACCAAAAAATATATAGTATCAAAATAAAAACAAAAATATTTTGTATTTCAGGACATAAAAAAGCGTTACAACAATGAACACCATCTAAAATGGGTGGGACCTGTCAAAATAAATTGTGTAACTGAAAGTTATATATTATTACTAAATGGTGAACATATTTTTATTAAATGAACTAATATTATTATTAATTGAAGGCTGAATAAAATTAAATGAAGCTTGCCAACAATTATTTATATATATATATATATATATATATAGGGAGTGGTTCAAATAAAAACTAGTCCTAGTGTGAGAACCGTGAGAACCGTATTTGATGCTAGTTTTTATTGTGTATGATGCTATTTTTAATATCACATGGTGCTATCATTTTCACAAATACTATTATAAATTGTGTTGCTATTTTTAAGAAAATAAATCAATGTTAAAAATAGCATTAAAACACAATAAATCATAGCACTACTTGCAACTATAAATAGCGGTTCTCACGGTTCTCACGCTAGAACTTGGTTCTCATTTGAACCACATCCTAAATATAAACAACAAAAAGAGCCTAAATATATATATATATATATATATATATATTTAGGCTCTTTTTGTTGTTTATATGTATTATTTCAATTTTCAATCATCTTACTTGCATATTAATAATTTCATGTATTATTGTGTCTTCATAAATTCAAGACTGGTGGGAGAACCAAATTTGGGTTAAAACTTGCATGAAAATTCCAGTATACACAAACAACAGCCAGTCTAAACGTAGCTATAAATAAAACTGCACACATATGGTAAAAACGGCAAAAAGAGTGAACTGTGAATGAAAAATAACAGTCCTTTCTCGATTGAGCAATGTCTTTAGTTTCGGTTATTGATTTACCTGTTTGATCTCAGTAAAATAACAGAGCTTTGTAAAAACCAATTTACTCTTCTAGTTGTCATTGTTTCCCCATCTTAACATAATTTTAACAGTTTTACATTGAACAACAGCCAATTTTTTACCCTCTTCTGGAACTCAGGGAGGGAAATTCTTGTTGAATGGGAATTTATTTGCCTACATTGTATAGCAAAAATATTTATTTACCCACTCTAAGCACATTAAAGATATATTCATTGGTCATGTATGGTATGTTAATTTCAAGGGTGAAACTTAATTTTATACATGGCAATAAAGTTTTAGGCCTTGTTATACTGCTTGGCTTGGAACCTGACCCGTAACCCATTTTTCTATGCTTGTTGGGCCTAAAGTTCAAATGGCCCCTAAATATTGTGATAGCCCACTATTCATATTGACAAGTTTTGGGGTGAGCTTTTTATTCAGTGAACCTTTTGCAAATTTTGATTTGATTTATAAGCAAATGCTACCGTGATAAATTCATGAAGTCAATGGGGAAAAGCTTTTATATCAATTTGGGCTCTCTATATGGCTAGTGATTTTCCAAAGTCCCTAAAAACAAGTATTTCTCAATAAAATGAATAAAATAAAATAAAGTGGCTCAAAAGTGCTTGAAAACCAAATCATAGCTACCTCTCAAATTCAATTTTTGAGTAGGCACCTCAATCTATATAATAGACTTTCGTTCTCATCATTGCCACATCATAGAATGAATACAAGAACTAATTGCATTTCAAATAAAATAATGCTTTTTGGAGCAACCAGTTAATCAATTAACATCAGCCTATGGCCTATAGTTGGAGAAAGTTTTTAATGTATGAGTTGAAAAATAATGAGGGCATAAATCATTAAAGCTCGCCCAATCATTACGCTATTATTAAAATTTTAATATTTTCTTGACACTTGAATTTGAATAATATAAATTAAATATTCGAGTATTTTCGAATCCTAAAACTAAATTAATGGAGCTCCTGAGTCGGCTCATATTGATAATCAACAATATGAAAAAAACAATAAATCAGTTTCCTCTCAGACAATTGTTCATCACCGAAAAAAAAAAAGCAGATTTTCAGACAAATCGAATCTCCAAAATTGAGGAAATAAAACAGATAGCCTGAATTAGAAAATATTGGGGGAAAATACAAACGGAAAAAGGTAATATATTAATTTTGGATAGATTTTTGCCATGATTGATAGCAGAAGTCGAGGAGGAAAAGCAAGTGTTCATAACAGACAGTTTGTGCTTATGTTTACAATTGTGTCGTTGCCATTTCATCTTCTAGGGTTTTGGGTTAGGGTTGTTAGCCCCTATATGGACCAAAATGCCATTGGTCTTGCTGACTCGGCCCAACAGCTCCAGTGGACCAAAGTGTTATATCTTTTACTTTGGGCTGGACAATAGTGTTTAGTTCTTTTGACTTTTTGACACAAATCATGTGACGAAAGGCGAAAATTGAGCCTTAATTTTGAACTTTTAGGGTTTATTTTAAGTTTCTTAAAGGTCCTGTTTTTCTTAAATTTTAGTTAATGAGGCGTTCTTTTATCTGTTGTTAAGTGGTTTTTTTATAGTTTAATTTTTTATGGGATTGATTGGATGTCAAACCCTTTAACATACTTTTACTTGAGTGAAAATTTTCCATGGACGAAAGAAATGTAGTGGAATGATTAATAATTACTTTAATTTAACAGTTGTGATATCAAGCATAAATAATTAATTCTATTGTGAAAGAGAAATAGCAAAGATAATTATAAATACGTGAGTAAATGAATATCAAGTTTTATAATAAATATATAATATTTATTAACTTTAATTTATAATTTCCATTAAAAAAATATGAACAGAGTAAAGCGAAAAAAAAAAGTTAAATGGATTATCAGTTGGAATTTTAAATTGGTGGATGAGATAATGATTGTAAAATATATTGCACCTTATTCCTTCAAGTTCAAGTTTAAAAATCAAAACCATTACTGAAAAATTGTACACAATTCAAATGACACACAGTCACACAGAACTACAAACTCAAGCTCCTTTGAATGGAAAGTGTACAAAGGAGAACAAAAATTAAATGCCCAAAAACCACCATCACAAAGTGAAATTTGAACAGGCGAAAAAAAGCCACATAAAACGAGCTTAACGAATCAGATAACATGGGTCAGCAAGGCCCAGATGGGGAAAGCTAGCAAGAAAATAATGCCGAGCGTGTTGGATATGCCATGGCTCTGTGTTAAAGAGTTCCGGAAGCCTCCGGAAGCTCGGATATGCTCTTGCAGCAGATAACAACCGATTGCAAGACAAATTGCCACCCCAATCCAGTGATCTCTCACCGTGTGGGCAAAAAAATCGGGCGAAACCACAAGCAGAAGGATCAAAGACCCCGGCATCTCCAGCCAGTCTACAACCAATCAAACAAAGTTGTCAACTTTCGAAAGATATTTGGGTTTGTTTGTGTGTAGTTATTCATTCCCTTTTAATGTTCATATATTTCAGATTGCATTTTACAACAAAAAATGCTAAAAGCACGTATAATACAGGTCGAAACCAATGTTTTACCGGACAAGGGCTCGTTTACCTGGGAAATGTGTTGGGAAGAAAAGCCTAAGCACAACCGCAACAAACGCAATCCATTTACCGACTTCTCCCCTAAAACGATAATTGTCAAGTGCTAAATGATAGAGAGAGTTTATTATCGTTCACTAGAGAAATGATTTTGTATAAACAAGTAGAACATTATAGGATAAGAACTGTCACACACCTAAGAAAGTGGAACAGGACATGGGGAAAACTGAGGAAAATGTATGGGATCAGTAGTGAAGTCAGCATGTTTGTTCTCCAGTTTGTCCGATCCAAGATCAACAAGTAGCTACAGTTAGATAAAATATCACCAATCATAAACTCGTAAACACAAGTTCTTGGTAGCCACAATAAGTAAACCGAGAAGAATGAGTTTAAACCAACATCACTAACAAAGAGACTTAATCTTCTACAATATATTCACAACATGTGAAGGCGATCCAATTCAGATCCTAGAAATTCCATCATATAGTCCTTAATGCCTCTCATTATCTTCAAAACAACTTGTCAACTTGCGAAATACCAAAGCTACTGTAGTCCTAACAGTTAGACAACCATAGTTTTTTAGCATATGTCCATACTTTCAAATTGAAAAGTCATACTCTAAAAAATCAACATAAACAAAAGTATGAAAGTTTCGTAATGCCCACACCTGCAGTGTTGTTATAATGGTATAACGGGTTGACCCGTCTCACGGTTAGTCTGGGCTGACACACAGAATTTGTGTTGCCATATATATTTCATGATTCACCAGCAACCCATGACTACATATTTCTGTTGTCATAATATTTCATGATTTACCACTAACACGTGATTACATAATGAGAAAATAGCATATGCATATACAACAAAAATTAAATTACACGAGAGACCAAGCTAATCGATTGCAATCAACAAAAACACAAATGATGATGAGACTTTCGAGTAATACACAACAAATACTGGAAAATTTAATCTCTAATTTCATATCTCATCAATCACCCACCGTCCGCAAACAGAATCAAACGAAACTGAAACAACAAATTTCCCAACTTTTTTTTTTAAATGGGGGAAATCGAGATGGGGAGAACTCACATGGCGGCAAAGGAGGCCACCCATCTGAGAAAGGAAGTGCCGACGGCGCGGCCGCCGAGCTCGGAGGCGTGGCCGATGAGCTTTTTAGCGGCGAGCTTCAATTCGTTGAAATCCGCATCCAGCAGCGCCGCAGCTTCCTGGTCTGTTTTCATGGCCAAATAATCGATCCTCCCCATTTTCCCTTTCTTTTTGTTTTTCTTCTCTCAAATCTTCTTCTACCTTAACTTTTTGAGTACAGATAGAAATGAATTGACCTCATCGTTGAATGATATTTAAAGGAATTGGCAATTATTGTATGTATCCAAAGAGGGAATTGGGGAAACGGAAAGTGGGCCGTTTTCTGCGTGTGCGCGGTTTTATGGATCTAAACTGCTCTGCCAAACGAATTTCTGCAGAACTGTGCCACGTGGAACTGTAGGTATGCAACACGCGTATTTTCTTTTTTCTTTTTAATGCATGACTTAAAAATAACCACAATTTTTTTTAGTTTTAAATATTTTTAAAAATAATATATTATTACTTATATTTAAAATTACACAGTCATTTACACGACTTACCATCTTATATTATATATTTTTTTAAAAAATTTACATCATTGTAGTTAAATTAGTTTAAATAATTTCTTTTGAATTAATATATTACAAAAATAAATAAAATTATTTATTTATTTTGTATGTATAATATAGATATTAAATCGAAGCTCATCAAGATATGATTAATTTGATATGTTATATATATAAAATTATTAATAAATAAAAAATCTATTAACTTTTAAATATATTTATAATTTAAGCTAGTGAATTTATTACAATTTTAAAAGAAATATGAATAAAAAAAGAAAGATTGGAAAAAAATTATAAAGGTGTCAAATAGGATTCCGAAAAGTGCGAGTCTACCACTTAGACTCAATATGTTCGAAAATTATAATGGGTGATTGGCGGTTTTTGTTCTAGAGCCAATAGTTGGCTCTTTAAGGTAGCCAACTACTTACGTGGCACTCCTACATGGCAATTCAAATAAGTTTTATTTTTGTCTTCTATTTTTTTAATTCTTATTTACTTTAAACGAAACATAGGACGAACTCAAAACTCCTACAAAGAAAAACTCACCATCGGCATAACTCAAAAGTCCTACGAAGAAAATCTCACCATCAACTCCATCGACGACCATCGGCTGAAAAAGTACACCATCGATGCTACTTCCCCTAATTAATATGTTTTTCATACCCTCCAATTATTCACCATATCAGCTTTGAGAAGGATAGTCATGATTGAGACCCAACCATCAGCTTCTCGCGACGATAAAGGAAGTCACATCCCATCGACCTAGCCAATCCCGCCGCGATGACTGCCGTCAATTAGACCTACATTCTCCCATATTTCATAATGTTAATTGAGATTGTGGAAATAAATTTAAACTAGACACAAATTCTCCCCAATTTCTTCAGCTTCACTTCCATTCTTTGAGTAATTTTTTTTTTTTTAAAAAAAAAAAAACAACAAAAGAGAGTAGAGGCCGGAACATTTTGTGGAAAGATTTTGCCATTTGTAGCAAAATTGTGGTGACGAGGACAACGGCATTGACTAAATTTAATCTGAAGAAGGTAGGTTTCTTGTTCAAAATACCAGACCGGGCCCGAAATCAGAACCGTTAAAAATCGGACTGTTGGATCGTTTGAACGTTGTGATCCAACAGTCCTTTTTTTTATGATAAAAAAATTATATGGTTTCTTATCGGGACGGTTCACACTCGTAACAGAACCAAAAAAGTGAGATCCAATAGTTAGATTTTTAAAATCGACTGTTGGGTCAATCAAACTGTTGAGATCTAACGGTCAGATTTTACGCGAATCGTTTGAACAGGCGATTCAACCCTTATCCGGTGGTTCACGAATTAAAAAAATATCCCCANCGTGATCTTCTTTTTATTCCTATTATCCTCAACTGACACCCGAACTAGGCGGAAAACTTTGCTTATTGGGTTTCAAATTATAATCCCTACAAGAATGTTAAGATTGCAAGAATAAGGGGACTAGATACGATAAACTCGACCACATTCTGGTCTCAGATCTCAGACTTACGATTGTTAGACAATTAGTTCCGCCACTCACATTCGATATCTTAGATTAGTGGTAAAAAAATGAAGACCAATTATCCTATTCCATGCTTCCGGAGGCTCAAATGTCAATAAGTGATTGGAAGAAGGCTGAATGAAGGGCACAAACAATCATGCTAACAACTGACGAGGATGGCAAAGTGCCGGATGATTTTACTAGTACTAGTAGAACCGACGAAAATACCGAAGACGACGAGTAAGACTACGCTTACAAGATCGTTTAATGCATCATGCCAATTTATTTCATCAAGGTAAGTAGGTAAACGAGTTAAGAGGACTTTGATTCCCAAGATATACGTAGACAACTTAATTGACATACTATAATGTCAAGTAAACCCCCGTACCTATTGTCAGGCCGGTTTTGTTTCAACTAAAATGGGAACCAGAACCAACCCGGGAGCCGCACGCATTTGTCCATATCTCTCTCTTAATATATATTTATATTTATATTTTCGTGAATTGTCAAGGTCTTTTTTTTTCCCCGAAACGATAGAGTATATAGAAATAACACATGATTACATCTAGACAAGAACTAAAATTAGTCAAACTGTCATCTAGTTGAATCTTGTTATAGGACTACTCGATAGTAGCCTAGAAACAACTACACTAACACACCTACGAACATAATGAACTATACAACTCCCACATGGGTAGAATACGACCCTTACAAGAGGAGAATAAGCTACCAAAAGGAAAAAAGACTCATAAGAAGAAGAATAAAAGCACCAACCAACAATACTACTAAAAACAACAACATAGACACAAACACTAAAACACTAGTAACATTAGAGTAACACCCTCATCTCAGTCCGCACAACAAACCGCACCACACTGTGGCCTGATATCCGAAAACAGTCGCCCACCCAGAAAGAACTCCGACTCGTGTACCGATCCAAAAACTTTAGTGTATTCACGGCTAATCGGAACCACACCAGACGACCAAAATTCTCTCACGATTGGACCATCCCCAAACCAGAGACCAGAGGACGACACTCCCTGTCCCCACCCATACACCAACGACAGCAAGCCCACCCAACGACCGAAGCTGCAATCCTAACAAACGCCCCCTCCGACCAATCACCGACCTCCAAAAGCAGAGAGAACGGAAAAGGGGTAGAGGGAAAACCTTATCTCAGCCCCGACCTACGCTGAGGAGTTGGTTGGAGCCCGCCGCTCGTCCACATCTCGACCCCACTGAAAACCCTTAACAAGACCTAGTCGACCGACGAATGCGGCGAAGCACTGCATCGGGGAGAGAACCGCGACACCTAGAAGGACTAACCACTCGGTCCGGTGACAGACGGCGCCGGGCGATGCGAAAAACCTGACTGAGAGGAGGCGAAGGGTGAGATTTGTCCGAGATTATTGTTACTTCAAGATGTTTTTATTTTTTATTTATTATTATTATTTTTTTTTTTTGAGATAGAGAGAAGACTCCTTTTTTACCAATTAATTTTCAAACATGAAATGTCAAGGTCACCAAATCCTTTTTTGATATTTGAAATTTTTATACAGTATTTTACAATTTATCCCCGAAATACCCTTTGAGATTCCACAAGTTGCTGAGAATTCAAACTAAATGATAAATTGTGCCAATCATTTGTGTAGTGGAACGAACTAAATACTGCCAATCATTAGAAATGGTTAAACAACATTTTATTATTCAAAGAACTAATTACTTGATAAAATTGTATTATACTTCGATCATGGTTAGCCAGTTAGGTAAAGAACATTTTATCATTATCATTATAGAATTCAACTTATCATCACTCATAAGTATCAAATTCTTAATAATAACAAAATCAAGTACTTTCAATGTGTTGCATATTTTAAACATACTAATGTAAAATCATTTCAAACACAAGCAAATACTAAAGTACAACTAGAAGTATTATTCAAATTGAGTTAGGCTCATTTAAACTCATGAAAGTTCGACTCAACTCGTTTGACGAATTCAAATCCATAAACGAGTTATCAGCTTGTTCGCACTCGACTCAATTGCTCGTTTAAATGCATAAACGAGTTATTCGCCAACAAGTTTGATTCGTTCAATAAACAAACTAGATCAATTAATTGATCTCCATTCACTTAAATAAATAAGTAGGATAAGCTTAAGAATGAAATCATGTTTGCAAATACTTTGTTTTCAATCACAATTCTAAATCAAATTGGGATCTGATGAAACACACCAACCCAACAAAGCCGGTAAATGTGCCAACATCCCACAAATTTTCCGTTGGATATGTCAAATATTCGCCCGCCATTTTGAAAAATGACTAACGGACTTTTACAGAGCATTTTCTTAATTTTTAATGCAAAAATGACAACTGGGGTTTATTAATTAAAAAACCAAAAAGAAACAAAAAGAAAAGATGCCCCTCTGCAGAAAAACAGTGCCCACCACCATTTCTTGATTCTCTTTCCCTTTCCCAACACCTTTCTTTTTCTCCACCCCATAAATCTTTTTCATTTTATTTCACACTTTTCTTTTTGATTCTTATCATCTCTCTCATTCTCTTCTCTTTTTCCTCTGGTGAAAACGAAAAGCTGAGAGGTCTTCTTTCTTAATTTCTCCTGTTAATTTCCCTTTTTTTATCTGTCATTCTCTCGCACAGTGCCCAAATACGTTCCTTGCCCCGAAAGTTTGTTTCTTTCTCTTAACCGCTCCAAACCCATGTTCTTGCCATTACCTCGTTTTCGTTTTACTCAAGATTCGTGTGTCTAGTGACATTTTGAAATTTGAAGGGTTTGATTTGTGAAGAAGGACATGTCGCCGGAAGTGGCGGCTGCAGTCGAAGATGACGCCGACTATTCCTTCGCCTTAGAATATCTCGGGCCGCCGGTGACCCGTGACCTGCCACGGGCGGTGCCCATCAATGTGGATCGGATTCCCGTGGCCGCCGTCGTTTCACCTCAGCCGTATTCAAACACCTTGCCGCTGCCCATCGTGCAGCCAATTTCTGCTACGGAGATAATCAGCAAGAAGCCGTCTAAGGATTTGAAATTGAGCTCAGTCGTTTCCCCAACTTCGGTCATTCCATTTGATATGCGGAATAATGAGGCCAGCGAGGGCTCTTTCAGTAAAGAGCTCGGTTTAGGGACGGAGACTAGTGTTTCGTCTAGTTCGATTAACGAAAAAGATGCCGAAAATTGCCTCAATAATGATCCTTTTGCCTCATCCGGCGAGTTGACTAGGGATTTGGAGTGTTGTAATCGTGATGGTGAGTTGACTAGTCGCGATATTTCGTGCGAGTTCACAAGCGGTATAGAGAGCTCGGGGGCTTTAGACTCTTCGTCTGTATTCAGCGTGGATTACCTCTCGTCTAGGGTTTCTTCTAGTAAATTTGGGAATGCAAATCGCGAAACTGATTGGGACGCGAGGCCTTCTTCTGTGAGGCGTTCTTCTGTGATGACTTACGGTGATATTGAAACTGATGATGATGAGAACACTACTGAGGAGTTTACTCGTTCGGAGCCTGAGTTCGTGCAGCGAGTGAGAAAAGAACCTGCAGTTAGAATCAAGAAAGGTGCATGTTATCGGTGCTTGAAAGGCAATAGGTTTACAGAGAAAGAAGTGTGTATGGTTTGTGATGCTAAATACTGCAATAGTTGTGTTCTTAGAGCAATGGGGTCTATGCCCGAGGGCAGAAAGTGCGTGACTTGCATAGGTTACCCTATTGACGAGTCGAAGAGGGGTTATTTAGGAAAATGCTCGAGAATGCTCAAACGGCTTTTGAATGATTTGGAGGTTAGGCAAATAATGAAGGCCGAGAGACTGTGTGAAGTGAATCAATTACCACCGGAATATATTTGCGTGAATGGTAGGCCTCTTTATCCCGAAGAGTTGATTTTGCTGCAGAGCTGTTCTAATCCACCAAAGAAGCTGAAGCCAGGCAACTATTGGTATGATAAAGTATCGGGACTTTGGGGAAAGGTGAATGGCGATAAAGCTCGATTGTTTTACTTTTAATCTCTTTGGTTGTGTAGTTAAAGATTGCATTAAATTTTAAATTTTTTTCAGGAGGGACAGAAGCCTTCTCAAATTATTACCCCACATCTAAATGTTGGGGCTCCTATTAAACCAGATGCTAGCAATGGGAATACCAAAGTTTATATAAATTGCCGTGAGATCACGAAAGTTGAATTACGAATGTTAAAGGTCAGTATTTGGTTTCATTACAGTTTCTTCATTAATGTCTTTGGGTTGATATTTATGTTCTTGGATCTTTTATAGTTAGCTGGGGTCCAATGTGCTGGAAATCCACACTTTTGGGTGAATGATGATGGTTCGTACCAAGAGGAAGGGCAGAAGAACACAAAAGGCTATATCTGGGGCAAGGTTTGATTTTTTAAATTTTCTATGATTTTTTGTGCACTCTTATTCTTGGTCTGTCATTTTATTGTTTTGTTACCTTATTGGTGATGTTTTGCTGTTCAGGCTGGAACAAAGCTGCTTTGTGCTGTACTCTCTCTTCCGGTTCCTTCTAAATCATCTCAACCTTGTGGAGAGCAAGTAACTAGCATGAGTAGCCGGAGTATACCGGAATATCTTGAACAGCGAGAAATTCAGAAGCTTCTCTTGATTGGATATAATGGATCTGGAACAAGCACGATATTTAAACAGGCAAAGATTTTTTTTTTTTTTTTTTNAGATTTTTTTTTTTTTTTTTTTTATATTATTATTATTGTTAACGAATAGTACTTTTATCTTATTTGGTTTTCACATTATTGTCCTTTCTAGTATTTGGAGTAACTAACATGATGCTGTGTAGCATTTATTTGGATGAGAAAGTATGTGTTGTTTTGTTGAGTATCTTTTGCCATTTATATTAAATGCTATGTTGGTAATATTCAAACCTTAATTTTGTTGGTTCAGGCTAGAATTCTTTACAAAGATGCACCTTTCTCAGAGGAAGATCGTGAGCACATTAAATCAGTGATCCAGAGCCATTTGTATAGTTACATCGGAACAATTCTTGAAGCTCGCGAGCGGTTTGAGGAAGAAAGTTGTCCTTCAACAACAATTGCAGGTAAAAGAGTTAATCTGAACATTCATTTTTTTTACTTATTTATTTGTTCGAGTGTGTGAAAAACACGAAAGTCAAATCATCTTTATATTTTTGGTTAACAAACAGGGCATGACGAAGAGAATCCTTATTCCATTTCTCCATGTTTAAAGTCATTTTGCGATTGGCTCCTTAGAATTATGGCCTCAGGGACTTTAGAGGCAATTTTCCCTGCCGCCAGTCGAGAATATGCACCTGTGGTTGAAGAGCTGTTGAGAACTTCGGCTTTTCACGCAACTTATAAACGGAGAAATGAATTAGATGCTCTTCCCAGTATTGCAAGTTATTTCCTCGAGCAGGTCAAACGATTCATCTCAAGTTTGGTCGATTTGCAAAATAACCCTTTATCTATGTGGAAATTTGGCGGTTTTTCCAGTCGTATAATTTTCAGAACTATAATTTTCAGACTATTTTGCAAGCAGTTCTTTTTACAAGGACCCTTTTTGCTGCTGTCTTGAAATGGCAGGACCACACTTTTGCATCTTGCTACTGATTTGATTTGATATTCTTTAAATAGATATACTTATTAATTATGTGTCCTGATATTTTTTTGCTTGACCCTTGATCAGGCTGTTGAGATACTAAAACCCGATTACCGACCGTCCGATTTGGATATCCTTTATGCCGAGCGAGTTACGTCATCTAACGGGCTTTCGTGCGTCGATTTCTCATTCCCCGACTCATCATATGACAATAATATCGACAGTGGTAATCTACGTGATTCCATGCTCAGGTAAATATTTTCTCTCTTTTTTTTTTTAACTTGGTTTTTGAAGAAAAGAA